CATCGCCTATGCTGTGCCTTTTATTCCCATGATTTATTCATTCTACAACTGGAAACCTGTACCTCCCACTCCACCCATTTTGCCCATCCCCACACCCCTCCCCTCTGGCAACCATCAGTTTGTTCTCTGTATTTATGGGTCTGTCTGCTTTAAAACATCAGCAGTATTCTAAACAAAATCCATAATCATCCCTCATCAGTTTCATTCAGGTCTGTGTAATTAGTTTTTGTTCCACTCGACCTTGCATCAGCGGTCTCACTAACCCATCTACTTGTCAACTAGAGTTCTTGAAATCCTGACTCAGTTCGTTGATATGGTCTCAAAGTTGTTTCAGCTATACCATAAAAAGCCTGTACTCGATACTTGGCAAAATCATTTTCCATGGGGCTCTGAGATAACCTTTCTTTGTTGAGAATGAAGCACTCTAGCTTGTACCTGATTGCAAGTGCTCTCAGGGACATTAGATGAAAATACACAAAACCATCTGTAAGTAGCAAAAGATGTACAAAAGCTTTGGTTAACTTGCTACTGATCCTTTTTAAAAATGAAAGATCTGATGAGACTTCATTACAAGAACAATAATGCAATTGACAAGGACATGTAGTTGTTTCTGTGGCATGAAAAACAACATAAAGTGAATCCCAAAAAGGTTTTAGACAGAATGTCCATAAACATAATGATTAACCCGGTTTTCAAAGAAGACAGGGTATTATATCTAACTTATAAAAATGGGTGAACATAATCCCTATAGAGACCAAAAAAAACCCCAAAAACCCTTAAATGTAACTTAAAATAATCCTGATACAATATATCATGAATATACTGAGCATACAGTTAGAATATCCCCAAAATATATCAAAAATATCAAGTTAGATTCAGTTAAGCAGAATAGGTCTTAAACATCTATATATTAATAAAATTCCATAGGTAAGTGCTGAGAACCCCCCAGTTGAAACTAATGGCCTAGTAGATGTGAGATTCACAATAAAGAAGAAAAGTTGAAACCAAGTTAACATTTAAAAAATTTTAAAATTACAACTGAAAACACTATACTGTAGTCATCTAAAATCTGACAAAGCAGCATAAGGACTCTGACAAATAGAAACAAATCATTGCTAGTGAGGACATTGATGGGTCTTTAGGAACTTCCTATACAACATACAATTTCTGAAATATTTATATTAATAACAATTTGCCTAATACCAGTCTACCCCAGGGAAAGCTGAGCATCTCTTCTGATTTGGCAACTCTTCCCGTGCATCTCATCAATAGTAACATATCAAATAAAGACAATTATTACTAGCATGGCTCTGTTTATAAGGTGAAAGAACAAATCCTTTGTGATTTTCCAGGGCCTTCTGGGATTCAATCAAGATAAGATGATGGATTACTGAAAAATGGTATTTGGTTCTCTACTTAACCAAAACCATGATAAAAGATTTTTAACATAAACGTAGGAGGGAATATGACCATGAAGAACCACATCTTGGGGCGCCTGGGTGGTTCAGTCAGTTAAGCAACCGACTCTTGGTTTTGGCTCAGGTCATGTTCTCAGAGTCCTGAGATGGAGCCTGCAGTGGGCTCCATTGTTTTTTTTTTGTTTTTTTGTTTTTTTTTAAGATTTTATTTTTTTTATTATTTATTTGACAGAGAGAGATCACAAGTAGACAGAGAAGCAGGCAGAGAGAGAGAGGGAAGCAGGCTCCCTGCTGAGCAGAAAGCCTGCTGCGGTACTCTATCCCAGGACCCTGAGATCATGACCTGAGCCGAAAGCAGCGGCTTAACCCACTGAGCCACCCAGGCGCCCAGTGGGCTCCATTGTTAAGCGCAGTCCCTTTCCCTCTGCTCCCTGCCCCCACTGGCCTGCTCTCAGGCTCTCATTCTCCAGCTCTCTCAAACAAATAAATAAATAAATAAATATTTTTTAAAAAAGAAAGAAAGAAAGAAAAAGAACCTCATCTCTTTCCTAAGTAAGAAGACTGCTTTCTTAAGTAATCAAGGCCATAAGAAAGTGAGCATAACCCATGTAAGTTTATCTAGTAAGACACAAAATCTTTTTTATTGAAGAAGATTACTTAAAGAGTGAAGCAAAACCTTTGCAGCCTGTTATTGAGGATTACTTAGTGAAGCAAAACCTTTGCAACCTGTTATTAAGAGAAGACCAATAATGTAAAAAAAATTATGTTTTAGCAAAGAGAAAACCAAATTCTAGTTTTGCAGCAGTATATAATATTTGATAGTGAAGTTCTTTTTGGAAATCTGATAAATAAGCTCATCAAACCTTAGCCAACTTTGATCTCAACAAATAAAATTCCCTTTCTGTCAGTCTTCTACCGTTTTCTGTATGCATACATATCCTTCATAGTACAACTTATATAAGTGACCAAAAAGAACATGTTCATTAACAGACCCAAATACATAGTTTCTCTGTAGCATGTAAAAATAAAGAAGCAATAGCATATAAACCCAAAATTATGCTTAGTAATTAATGCATTCTCTTAGTTAGAAATGATCTAGGTATCTAATGAATATCCATTAATTAACTCATTTAATATCAGTCCAAAGTTTTCAGTTACTTAAAGATCTTGTAAATTATCTTCAAGCTGACGTACTACAAAACATAATTGCTGTTGCAATAAAGTTCCTTAGAATAATGACTCAATTAGGCTGAACAAATTTACATTTGTCATAGTCTCAAATACTAAGTAGAAGTAATGTTGGCTCATTTAATTAGTAAACCTGTATAAATTTAGGAGGAATATACTCAAATAGAATAAAAAATCTACATGTATATTATACTTAACCCTGTTAAATTAGAAAAGACATAACTGATTTTAGTAAACCAAATTTATTAAATCAGTCTTGTCTGCCAAAGATTTACCTAAATTATGCCAACTTGAATTCTTAAAACATTTGAGTTTGTTTCTATAGGAATATTCTTTTGGCACATTAAAAGTATTCAAAGTTTAATTTCCTTATTTTCTGGGAACTTTAGGAATATTCTATTTATCTAAGCACTTATTTCTATAATCCAGTGAGAATAGAGCTCCTTTAAGAACATATTAGGAAAATATTACATTCAAAGGCCTTTCTGAATTATAGACATCATCATTATTAATATTATCTAAGCTATTGTCATAGAGAGGATGATCAGTAACAAATAACATCTCAGAGGAAAGGTAGGGGGCCAGGAGGTTTTTAGAGACACTGGTATTCTTCTTTAGATACTGTATTATTTCTGCTTGCTTTGTTTGTTTTTTGGTTTTGTTTTTCTGTGCTTATGACTTGTCTCCCTGACTTAACTGTGGGCTCTGAGGGGGAGAGGTATGTGCTGTATTAATTTGCATTTCTCCTCTTCCTCTCCTCCCTCCTCTTTATTTATTTAGTTTTTATTAAAGTATAATTGACATACAGTGTTCTGTTGGTTTCAGGTATATATGACAGTGTTTATACACTATTTCTATACACTACGAAAAGATCCCCACAATAAGTTACAATCTGTCTCCATACAAAGTTATTACAATATTACTGACTGCATTCCCTATGCTGTATACTCCTCTTTTTTGCCTAACACTTAATGTCCCATCTCACCTATCCAAAAGTTACTGATGTTTCTCTTTTTTGATATGCTAAGACAGTAGACTTATAAAATGTAAGCTTTTCATGATTGGAAAACAGCATCCAGGAACTTTCAAAGTCACATATTTAACTCTTATTTACAGAGAATTTATGGGTGGCCAAATCTTTTTCTCATATTGGTTTCTTTCTGGTTGCATATCTAAGGCCAAGCTATTTTTTGCTAGGTGATCACTGAGTTCACTTTCATGAGAAAAATCAATGTTTAGTGATATTTTCTACCAAATTCCTGCTTGCCAATGTACGTGTCTCATTGATTCAGCCTGTGAACCAGGGTATTGTTCAGAATATGAAATGTTATTATGGAAGAGATTTCATGAAGAAGTTTATGCATTCCATAGGTACTATGAAGGTCTTACAATCTCATAGTACTGAAAATGCTATTTTAAATGATGCTCGTGCTTAGAATTCTATTTCAAGTCAAATATCAGGGAGAACTTGGGGGGAAGATGGGCTGAGTATTTAAAATGTCTGTGGAAGCTGAAGAGATTGAAGCATTTAGGATGAGGCCTTAAAAATAAACTGTAATACACTTTTGATGATAAAGAATGCTCTTTTACATTTACTCAATAAGACTTAATAAAAAAGAGTAGGCTAATAAGAGTAGGTCACTCTTTAATAAAAGAGTAGGTTAATGTTGAAAAGAGGTTAAAGTGACATGGTATCACCAATAGCGGAAAAGTTAAAGGACACCAGTGAAGTCGCTGAAGACAATTTTAGTGAAGGAAACAGTAGCTTTAGAGGAGTCTGCTTTAGTCTTCTTGTAATAATCACATTTACCGAAAGGCAACCACATGCCGCCCAGGAGGTTATGCTTTTGTACATTCTACACTCAGCTTTTATGAGCAACAAGTGCAAAAACTTACTCAAACAAGAAAGAAACAACTTCTAGGTTATGTCATAGATTCAGTACAGAGACTCCAATCTCCATCATCTTCTACAACTGGCTGAGCAAGATGATCTTCAAAGCCCTTTCTGGATTCTAGCTTTCTTAAAGTCCTATAAGTGATAATCAGCATTCATCATGATGGCCCCAGGGTACCCCAGGTTTTTACAATCATTCCTGAATGACTAGAGAAAAGTGCTATTTTGTCCAATATAGTTATAATATTCTAATTCTTTGAAAATCTGAGATCCTAAATTGGAAAATGTTACCAATCAACTTGAATGTGTAATTTACCCAAACACTCCATCTTCTGATCATTTTGAGCCATTTTACTCTGTAATCTGTGTAGGTAGGTTTTTGTTTTTCTTAAAAGATGGGGGAATTATAAGGGAATAGATCTCAAGGGTTAGATCCTTGGCTGTAAAGACTCCCTTGGATTGCTTTTGGCTCTTGGCTGTAGCAACTTGTTTTCTTACAGAGATGAAGCATCTGGGTTTTGTTATCTCAATGATGCTGTCCTGGGAATATTACGATTGCGACGGAAATTTGACCGTATTCTCTATGTGGATTTGGATCTGCACCATGGAGATGGTAAGCCCTTCACTTTCAAAGGTGCTTTGCTGCTAGGACAGAAGGTTTTTATCAGTAAAGCTGCTTCTAGGCGACTGGTAAAAGGAGAAATGCCTGTTGCAATTGAAATTTTTCTAATTGAGAATCCTAATGTAGGTAGAAGAAAGATTCTTCTAACTAATGTAATTCCTCCTATGCTGACCAAGATGCTTTAGAATACCAGGTTCCTGTGATTTCCCCTCCCTTCTCCTCCACCAGCAAAGTTCTCCAGTAGAGAATGTTAAGAAGTGGGAATCTCGTCCAGTGTATACTCAGTGCTCAGTAACCTCCCTCAGGCCCCTTGCATAGATTCTAAGTGAAATTGGCAGTTACAACTGACAGTCTCGTTCCTTCTCTTAAGATTGAATGAGTGTATGATAGACTAACACTCTGAATTTTTCACCAACAGGAATATCAACTCATGCAGTGAAAGAATCTGTGCCACTTTCTTTGTAATGTCGAAATATCTAGTGCTGCACAAATTCAGGGCATCTCCTGTAACTTTTAACAGCAGCACAATCTTGACTTGCCTCAGACCATTAATGCCCCCTTAGAAGATTCCACCAGAAGGGTGTAACCCAAGCCCTCCTATGTACTTTCCATCTAGAATGTAGAGCTTCAGGGACAGTTACCCACTTGCTGTTTCTTTAATAAATCCTGTGTGTGACCCATGTTTCCATTGACCTAGGAACACTTATCTGGTAAAATTAATTAAGGATATTCCCTCCTCTCCCCCACACCAGTGATGGCTGCTTCCCTGTTTCCAGGGATTTTTGGAGACAAACTAACATAATCAAGGCATAAGTGAGGAAAAGAATAGTATATGACAGAGGATAGGATCAGCTCTCCTGCCAAAACAGAAAAAGAAGGAAGAAATTGTGGGGGAGACCTCCCCAAGGAGTTCATCTAGATGGATGCTACCATGGAATGGTGACAGAAAATTAAAGGTAACAGAGAAAAGAGTTAAAACAACCAACATACCACTCTGAGAACCATGCCCACTGAATGTGTGAATACTCCGCCAACACCGAACACAGCCTTTGCTCAAAAATCTTCAGAGGCTCCTCATTGCCTCTAACAAGGGTAACATTTGGCCCATGGCTTGTTTTTGTATGGCCAGCAATTTAAGAATTTTATCTTATCTTATTTTATTTTATTTTAAATTTTTTACATTCTTACAAGGTCGTAAAGGAAAAAAAAAAAAGCAATCAAGTCCATGAAGCCTTGGCAAAGCCTAAAATATTTGCCACGTAGCCCCTTGGTTGGCCAACCCTTGGCCTGTAGCACTGGTTCTCAAACTCACATATGTAGCGTGGTGACACCGGGAAGCTTGTTTTAAAATGCAGATTCCTGGACCACATCCACCAGATACTCAGATTCAGTAGGTCTGGTTATGAAACGCAAGAAGCTACATTTTAGCCACAGTCCAGCTGGTCCACAGGCCACACTTTAAAAAGCAATGCTCCTCGAGGTAAAGTCCACACTTTTTGCCCTGTCTCTTGAGGCCTGCCTGAAAGAGACCTTGCCTCTTCTCTCCAGTCTTCTCGCTCACTACCTGCTGTCCAGGCTGCTCCACTCAGTGATCCCCAGACAGGTCTCAGTGCTCCTGCCCCCATCCCTGACTTTGCATTATTCTTTCCTAACTTAGTTTTGCTTTTTCCTCCAAGTTCTGTCCAGGAGCTCAAGTTCCAACAGTAGCACAATTGCCCTAACCACTCCAGCCCGAAAGTTCTCTCCCCTCCTCAAGTCCTGTACTGTTTATATCGCTGATTTGCTATTTAATTATATATTGTCTTGTATTGTTAGTTAAATCTTTAATGTGTCTATGTCTTCTCCTCCCATAGAAACTTTCAGTTCCTCCAGAGCAGAGATCAAGTTGTTTACTTCTTTCTGTCCTGCACAATGGCTTGAACAAACAGAACTATGCATATAGCAGTGGTTCAGTAAAATATTTGTTGAATGAATGAATGAGTATGAAATTCAAACTATTAGTATCAGAGCTCAAGAATAGAATCAACTCTATTGAACCACGTAAGAATGAAATGACTGTCACCTGAAACCGTTCTTTCCATTTGCAATGTTATTTCTACACCATTTAGAGTTTCCTGTTTTAGCCAACTTTTATGGTGTGTTTCATTTCAGTTTATTTCCCCTCTTCAGCACCTCCCTTCCAGTGACCTCTGCCCTGCCTCCAAACTCTTACACATTTGGTTTATTTTAAATCTCCCATGATTCCATAACCAGCATCCTGTGGTGGCTTCACCAGCACTCTTAGCCTGTCCTCACTCTCTTTCACCTTCTTTTGTTTACCTAACCACTGTTCTCTTTCACACCAAGCCCCATAACCCTCCACCTATCTGTCTATGTCCCTTTTTTAAAGTATGATTTGCTAACAATACGTAATGGCATTTCCCATGAGAGGAGATACAAAGAATTACTAAACATACGAAAAGGTCCTCAACACACTAACACTCAGAGAAATGCAAACTAAACAAGATCCTATTTTCTGCCCAAGTTTAATAATAATAGCACCCATTGCTAGTCAGGGTGTGAGAAAATGGGAACCCTCCTCATACACCGCCAATAGAAGGATAAATTGGTACCACCTTTCTGGATCAAGAAATAATCAGGATTTTTATGAATTGTCCTTGTTTATACTTCAGTTTCTAAGTTAAAATGCAATTTTAATATGTTTTGTTTTGTTTTATTTTGTTTACTTAATGCCTTGTGCCTGGAGCCTTTAACTGGTTTTAACTGCCTCCCTAGGGCAAAACATAAGGCTTGGGAAATGCAAACAGACCTGTGATACACAAATACAGTTACTATTTTTCTAAGGTCTCTTTTGGCCTCTAATGAAGACTGAAAGCATTAAGTAAACACAGCGACAGTTTCTTTATTTGAAGTATAAAAGAGGATAGTACATGAATTTGCTAATAGTCCTTCCATTTTACAAATGGACTCTCTGAATATAGTATGACCATATGTGATTCTGGGAAGAAAGGTATGGAGGTGGGCAGTGCATTTATCTGAAATTAAGTAGTGGCTCGTAACAGTTACTTCCTTCTCCCAGGCCTCTATTCATTTTCTGCCTCTGTTTAAATGGAAGGGAGACTCCTTTCTAGAAAAGCGCCCTCCCCAGCCTTCCTTCTTCAAGCTTTAAAATTATAAAGGTGCTATTAAGGGAGGAGCCAGGACTGTTAGCCTTCCATGTTTTGGCAAGAAAGATGTACTCCAAGCTGCTTAGACTTTGGGTGAACTGCATTTATAGCCAAATCTGTATCACAGAGAAGCACTTTATCATTAGGTTTTCACTACATGATGCCTACTGTTTGTATTGGTTGTATTTTTCAAAGGATTGCCACGTTGTACTTCTTTGGGGGGGGGAAATCCCAAGAATTTAACTAGAACCACTGAAACAAAACAAAACATAAAACTTCCAAGATGGTGCCAGTTCCCTCTATTCAGCTCTATTGATAATGCTTCGATTCTGAGCTCAAGCCTTCCACACCTTTTAGAAGAGGTTGTCTAAGGGAGCCTGGACATCCTGTTGCTTGGAAAGGGCAAGTCCAGTTACAACTTGCCATGCATTTGAAAAGGAACCCCAAAACTTCCCTTGGGGCCAGAGTTCTTCCTCATCCTGTAACAACAGAGATCAAAGACTGAAGGGTCTTGCTCCTTTTACTCCTCAGCTTGTTAGCTTTATTATTGCTACCCTCTCTCTTACTTTCCACAGCTGCTTCCTAGCATTTCAGTTGTTGCAAACCGGGAGTTGCATATATAAAGTGATTCTTCTGCTGTTTTTTTTTCCCCCTCTGACAGGTGTAGAAGATGCCTTCAGTTTCACCTCCAAAGTCATGACAGTGTCCCTGCACAAATTCTCCCCGGGATTTTTCCCAGGCAAGTAACCTGTGTGTTCAGTATTACATTTGAAGAAGAAATGCTGCAGCTCTTCTCTGCATCCTTACGTTTTGTATTTGGAGAGTTCTGTGCCGGTGGTACTTTATTGATGTTACTCTGTGCGGAATTTTAACACAGGTCCTTTCGGGTGACAGTGATAGGAATGTAATACTGTTTCTTTTTCCAGATGCCTTTTATGGACTGTCAACAGACAGCTCACTTACACTTACTGTCCTATCAGATACCCTGTGTAACTCCTAACATCCTGATAAGTGCAATGACTTACTAATATTAGATCAATCCAAGACATATGGAAAACCAAGCAAAGGAGTGCATCTTTTTCTGTTATTTAATTTGATCTAGCCAAGTGGAAACTAAGGTTTTTCCATTTTCTTGTGATTTTCCTCTTTCCCCAACATTGTTTACAACAGTTACTTCTCTGAATTATTTGTCTTAATTTCATTTCCTTAGAAATCATCAAGAATCCAGGATCATTCTTCTACTTGACCTTTTATTGTCCTGGACTCCTGTCAGAGAATCCTTCGAGTTTTCTAATGCTTGTGCCCTTAAAACCGCTCCTGATGCTCCTCTCTTTCACAGGAACAGGTGACGTGTCTGATGTTGGCCTAGGGAAGGGACGGTACTACAGTGTAAACGTACCCATTCAGGATGGCATACAGGACGAGAAGTATTACCACATCTGTGAAAGGTACAGTAGTAACACTGAGCCAGTAACAAGTGCATCACATTTCTTTAGGATGAAAGGGCCCCCAATCTCACAGCATTCTTGTCTTCAAGGAAGAGTTTGGGGGAAAAAAAAGTCACCACGATATACCTATATAGCTTTTATACACTGCTCATTATACTTCATCGATCAGGTTGTCATCCCTTGTTTAGGAGAGCTGAGCGTTTGGAACAGAGCCACACTCTTGGTTTGCTCTGACTTGCTGCCCCATCTGACTAAGGTCATCCCAAGAGCAGAGCTTCCAAGCTGGCCTGGGTTATCCCTTGTCTGCTACTTTCTTAGCTAAAACCTGCATGTATGTCATTTCATTAGCCTGGCAGTGTTCATTTCTGCTTCCCACTATGGAGATCTGCTTGCATCCACTGGTGTGAATATTAGAAAGTTCTTCATTATGAGTTCTTGAGTTCTATCCTCTGTGTTACAATTGGGGTCAGAAATCTGTCCTTTTTACACTGTGGTTAAGGATCAAATTATTCTTGAGTTCTATCCTTTGTGTTACAGTTGAGGTCAGAAATCTCTTCTTTTTACACTGTGGTTAGGGATCAAATTACAGCCACTTGTAGGCAGACAGTTTGGTGTAGACCATTGGGGCTGAAAAGCCCTACAGAACGCGGAAGGGGGTGGGGGTAAACTCATATTCATAAAAATTGCGATTGGCCGGTACAAATTCACTGCTGACATTAGCAGGAGAGAGATTAGGTCGGACTAGAAGTCAGCAAGTCAACATTACTTAAGGTAAGTAATGGGGATGGAGGTGCTTTTGATTCCTACCCTACTCAGCTCAGATTTCTCCCACCCTCTGGTGGAAACAGGGGCTTCCCAAAGGAGCCTGCACTGGCCATCATCACCAGCAGTTGTAAAAACAAAGCAGAAGTATTAAAAAATAAAAACTGTATGCTTCAAAGGTGCCTCTTAGCTCAAGAGATTTGGCAAGCCAAGTCATCAAGCAGCAGCTCTAGCCTCTTCATGATTTTGATCATGTCCCCTGGCTACCTCTGTATTGTCAGACTGAAAAGGCCTTTATTTTTGGAGCCTGCCATTGATGGTTTTAATTGCCTTTCTTTGTTCCCCTCAGGCTCTGTTCTGTCCTTCTTGAGATGTGCAGATCAGAGCTGCTTATGTAACTTCACCAATGAAGATATCCTGTGGTGCTGTGTAAAAGGAGAATTATTTTGTTTTTCTTTTAATCCCCTTCTTGCAAGTGTTCAACACTTTGCTGTCCTTTTTTCACCATAGCAAGAAACTCGGTTTTTCTGTTCAGTGCTGTCTGTGTCCGTGGGGTTTCCTAGAGCTTGCTAGTTCCTGGGCCTTAAATGAAAAGTCAGCACCCACCATCCTGCAGGGAGAGTTTGTAGTATCTGGCCTTCCCTAAATAGATGACCTTACACGTGCCCCTATTGAAGCCCATCTGCCAATCATAAAACTTCTTGAGATCTACATTTAGCCCCCCATCAGTCTGGCATTTCACTACCTAGAAGAGCTAAGTATTGTCTGCCGACCTGGGGAGTGTCCACTCCCAAGGAAATCTCCTACTCACCCTCCTTCCATGAGCATAATGTCTGTTGCTCCCTTATATTTTCTCTTTCTCTAAACCAGTTCCTACTACAGGATAAAAAAAATGTTTAATCCCATAGTAATTCCTGTTTTAATATAGCCTCAGTATCAGACTTAATTAGAAGCATTTAAAAAATGAATTTAGGGGGGCACCTGGGTGGCTCAGTCATTAAGCGTCTGCCTTCAGCTCAGGTCATGATTCCCAGGGTCCTGGAATCGAGCCCCACATTGGGGCTCCCTGTTCTGCGGAGAGCCTGCTCTTCCCTTTCCCATTACCCCTGCTTATGTTCCCTCTCTCACTGTGTCTGTCCCTGTGAAATAAATAAATAAAATCCTTTTTTTTTTAAGTGAGTTTAGGGGCACCTGGGTGGCTCAGATGGTTGAGCATCTGCCTTCAGCTCAGGACATGATCCCAGGGGCCTGGGATCAAGCCCCACGTTGGGTTCCCTGCTCGTTGGGGAGCCTGCTTCTCCCTCTCCCTCTGCCATTCCCTCTACTTGTGTTCTCGGGCTGTCTCTCTCTATCTCTCTCTCTATCTCTCCCTGTCTCTATCTCTGTCAAATGAATACATAAAATCTTTTAAAAATAGATAATAAATAATAAATAAGAAGTGAATTTAGCCCCAAAGAAAAGATCCATGGAAGATCACATATGACTTCCCTTTATAGAAACCATCTTGCTGCCCCCACTGTAGTGTATGGGAGGCCAGCACTGACTAAACATTCTTCCAGCTTGCTTCCTAAAGTACCAGACACTCATCACCTTATGGTTCCCAGGGCCCCTTTTGCCTCGTGGAGGCACACCACCAATCTACACACTGATCATCCAGGATAACAGGTTCTGGGTTTTCATTAGAGGTACAATAATTGTCCCCTTCGATTTCTTTCAGAAGTCAAGTGTGCTCAGGGCGTTACGTGAAGGCAGCTCTGATTCCAAGGGTGCCAAGAAAGCTTCCTGACCCAAACATCTCTCCCATCTGTCGCCTGAAATTCCTTTAACAGGAAATGCACTTTTATTCTACAATGAGGCCTTAAAATGGAATTTTGCCACAACCCCTCCTCCTAACCTTCACTCTGCCAGAGATGTATGCTTTCTTGATAGCAGATTTTGAAAGGGTTAGAGCAGGAGCACTCTGAGCGTTCAGAGGAGCAGGAACTGGGTTAGTGGAGCAGTTAGGGAAAGAGGCACAGAAAAAAAAAAAAACACTCTTTGCCAACTAAGTGGTTTTATAGAGGTTCAGCCCTGGTAACTATATCACTTAGTTCGTCATTCTGTTTTTGACTGCTTGTAGCTTGTTGCTGGGAAGCAGAGTCTCTTGCCCCTTTTCTACTATGACCTCTGACCCATCTGCCTACCTCAAAAGATAGAGTCAACATAGGAATGGCTTACTCATGTAAAAAAAAGTCATGTAGTGTATCTGCTATCTTCATTTAATCCTTTATGTTCCATGAGCCCACCGATTTTCTGGCTTGCTCCTTACCTGTGGTAAAATAAAAGATCTCTTATTGCTGGTTCACTTAAAAGATGCTGTAATTTTCGTTTGCCACTCAATTTCTAGTTTGCTACTGAACTGACGCTCCCTGTGGGATTCATGAGCCCTTTTGTCTTTCCTATCCTTTATTCCTGTGTGGCTTTTTCCTCTGCCATAGCCTCCCTTGACTTTGCTAGTGAGTCTGACTTAATGATTTCATCTTAAGGTTGAGCACACCCTCTTTTTTTGAAGATCTTATTTATCTGAGAGAAAGATAGAGGGAGGGGAGAGAGCACAGGTGGGAGGAGGGGCAGGAGAGAGAAGCAGTCTTCCCGCAGAGCAAGGAGCCTGCCATGGGGGTGGGGCTTAATCCCAGGACCCTGGAATCGTGACCTGAGCCCCTGAGCCGAAGACCGACGCTTAACCCACTGAGCCACCCAGGTGCCCCAGGCACACCCTCTTAATTTAAAAAAAAAGGGGGAGGGGGCTTAGGGTTTCTTTTTTTAATAGACTAGATAAGGAATCTACATGGATATTTTCAGCACCAAAAGACCTTGAATTCCATCTTATGTAAAAGATAATCTTAGTCAGAGATACCTAGGTCATTCAAAACTCATTTGGAAAGGTAAGGGTCACTGATTCCCAAAATCTTCCCATAATTTTCATGGGAGCTACTAGAGTTGGTATTATAAGTAGAAACCTGTTTTAACTAACATGAAAGAATATTAACATCATTCTTGTAAGCACACCTCCTCCTTCAAATAGAAGCTGTGGTCCCAGTAGAGAGACAATGGTTATATTCTTGATTTACATGAAAGCCCACTCCCCCTCCTTGGCCACATGAACACATACACACAAGGTTTGATGGGTGAGGAAGGCTGATTTGCTAAAGGGGGGGTTTTGCTGGTTTCCAAACTATGTCATCTGAAAGATGAAATACTGCTCTACCTATGTTTAACTTGTTCTTGCTTTCTAACTGTATCTGAATGCAACGTGAGATAGTCTTTTTTTTTCAAGATTTTATTTATTTATTTGACAGACAGGGATCACAAGTAGGCAGAGAGGCAGGCAGAGAGAGAGGAGGAAGCAGGCTCCCTGCTGAGCAGAGAGCCCAATGTGGGGCTCCATCCCAGGACCCTGGGACCATGACCTGAGCCAAAGGCAGAGGCTTTAACCCACTGAGCCACACAGGCACCCCCGAGACAGTCTTAATAATGTTTAAGCTATTACCCAAAGCACTGATGATGTTGGGAGCATTTGTAGTTGAGGACTATGGGACAGAAGGATACTGATATGTACTTCCTTGCTTTGGGTTCTAGAGAGGTTTTGATCTGAAACCTCAAATCTTGCAAAATGACCAAACTACTTGCTTACTATGGACTATTATGACATATGTGTGGTTTGAAAAAGAAATTCAGGGCTGTACTTAAGCTTCTTAGTTTTTATCCTACCTGTCATTTTATAGCCCCAATAGCCAGAAAACATCCTTTAATACATATCCAATTAGTATATACCTCATAGGAAAGCTATATATCTGTACATATATAGATATACACATATATATGTATCTATGTGGTGTGTATGGTTACAAAATATATTGAAGTGGACAGTTCAACATTTTGGAAAAAAACACCCTCACATTTTATTAAGAATATTCAACTGTTAACTTGGTAAGATAATTAAGTACAGCCACCGCATAAATATTTCACCAAAAGGAAAACACACTGTTAAAGAAACTTCACGATGAATAGGGCTAAGGAGAGGCTTTGTTAAACAGGACTTTTCACGAGAACAGTCTTTATATCCACATATGCAAAACTTTGCTAGTGAGAGCTATCAACCCAACCGAGGAAATGATCTTATCCTGCTGAACTAAGGTTCCTAACAGTAGTTTCTTAAAGTAAAAATCTACCTGTATTCGGTCCTTGCCCTGTCTACC